TCTGCCAGCGATCAACAATCCATTCAATAAAGATGCTCCACAATCAAAAAAGAAATTTTGCACAAATTAAAGAGAACCTGATAGCTCTCAAGGTTAATTTTGCCCTGTCAATGGATGTAAGTGGGTAGTGTTCAGTATCTCTTGGCTGCTTCTAAGCCTCCTCCCCTTTCCTTCTCGATTAAAATAACGCGCATAGATAAGAACCATAACTAAAACCCTCTCTAAAATAATAAATAATTCATTATGGGGAGCTTTATTTTAGTAATTGTGACGTTCAATTCTGTAAACACTTTTCTTGCTTTGCACCTCTAACCTATTTTAGTCCCAAAAGGCAGGTTAAGGAAGGCCTTGAAACATTCAAAAGTGGTGGTGGCAGAAATTTAGTTTCCGAGACCTTAGCGGAATTTCATAAATGGACTCTTGCCTATGCACTGCTCTTTTTGTAAATTGTGATATTTAGGCAAGTTCATCGAACCTGTCAATGCTGAATAGTCAATGATGGACCATTCAAGAAATGGGAAGGAGGCAGAGGTCTTATGGCTGCTAAGTCTATGTATCGACGGCCTACTACAGCTTCAAGGCGGATTGGACATGGGAAAGGGGACAAGGTGAGGCCTTTCACGCATCACGTGTTCACACCACCTATTCCAAGGAGAGGAGGGTTTGATATCCACGTGATTTCCTCGGGACCGCGGAGAAGGGAGTGGATGTGAAGACGACAGTATTTTTGTCCTATGTGTTGGGATAACAAAAGGACATTTTTATGTTGCTTCTCAATTCCAATTTCCAAACTTTCAACCATTTGGCTGCAATCCCATGCAACTTTTACTAACTTTCCTTGTAACTATGACAGTCAATCAATGTTACATGTGCAACATCAACTCTTGTCCAGACAAATGAGGAGGGTTGATGCTCGGCGTACTTTGCACTTCTCTCCTCACATATACTCCGGTACCTATTCAAGTGATTTATTGCTTTTAGAACCGCCATCAATTCGCCTATGTGTTTTCCAGGACGAGGAAGAGATTCGAAGAAGATTTTCATCTTCCAGTATAGTATCGAAAGCAGTAAATTTAGCTGGGAGAACAGAAAGCCACCAATCTGAGTAGTGAAACGTTAGATGTAGAAAACTGTGACTCCAAGGTACAAACCACTCACATTCAGCGGCTCAGAGCAGTAACATAAATTCACACCTCAGAAGCGCAAAACGACCTTTATCGAATTTCAAGCGAATCCGTAAATTTTTTGTTACTGGCAAACGTGTCGGCAGAGTTTAATGAAATCCTAAATTTCTCCGTCATTATGTGTACGCACCCCTTAGTTAGGCAAACTCGCTCCCCAAGCGTAGCTATTTAGGGTTAATAATACTAACGCAGGCACATATTCATCACGTACTTTGCACGTGATTCCCGCCGTGATTCTCCCCCTACAGTGAAGGGGAGAAAGGAACACAATAACGACTGACCAATCAAATCAGTGAGTGCAATAGCCAATAGGATTCGCAAATCCAATGGTAAGCGTGTCATGACTACCGCGTCCAGGAGCTGCAAAAATATGCAGCAAAGGGTACTTCATTTGGTGATCCAATTAATGCACTTCTAGCAATTCGTACAAGCACCATTGGGAGTACTTCCTTTTCAATAAATGCAGGGGATGTATGCATACCAAGTCACCTTCTTTTAGGAGAAACCAATGCTTACATTCAAGTAAAGTGCCTTACGCAGCTAATTAAGTAAACGTGACTACAAAAGTACCCTTATCAAATTCAAACGCAACCACCTTATTCTCTTTCGTGAGAACTCCAAAAAGAGAATTAAACGATGAGCTTTAAAGCTAGCAAAATCTACGGCCTTTCTGGCCTCCGCGTCAGACTAACTCATGCCCTAGTTCCTAGATCATCATAAGTCTTGTCAGCAAAGTGCATTTTAGGGGGTCAGTTAATGGTCTATGTGATTAAACTCCTAATGGAAGGGTTGTGGTTAAGCCACAGAACCCAGCACTGTGTGGTTGATGGACTCCAGCCGCCACGCGAACATCCCATCCACAAAAGCTAAGGCAATCAAATTACGATTGTGGGGTGACCTCGACTCATGCGGGCATACACCAAACGGACTAGGCGCACCACCGACCAATAGGTTTGCAAGGTAGCCAGGCCGATCCCAGTACTGACGCTGTCACGTGACTACCGCATACCTCGAGGCTGACGCACTTGAAAGGCGAGGAAGAAGGAAGATCGCATCAGTCCGATTGCAACAGAGGAGAGATTATGCTACTACCCCGTAAGAAAGTGATGTCCACCCTGCACCAGCGGCCCTTCAGTTAAAATAAAAGCAGAGGCCCGAGTCAACTTGTCGGCAGAATCCTTTCGTACAATTTTTGAAGTCGTTTTCACCAGTGTCACAAGGGTGTAACAACCGTACTTCATCATCCATATCGACGAAAGTAACGAAAAGCAAAGTTTAGGCGAAGAAATGAAGTGGGTTTGAAAGGGGGAAAGGCTGGTATTTGATGCCATTGGTCAACAAGGTGGTGAAACAGCTCCTAGCCTTGGATGTGGCCGATGGACCTGCATTGGTAGCCTTCACCAAGGCCATCAACCTGTCCGTAACTGATTTTTTTCCTCCGAGTTTATTGCAAATCGATAGAGTGAGAACGTGTCATTCGAGGTGTGCGTATCAAACATGAAAAATTGTAACCACTATCACCGCTTAGTGTGAGTAGAAGATATCCGCGCTGCTAAAACGGGGAAACTTACAGACCGAACGGAAAAGAATGGTGTACAATCAAGAAGGAGTGGAAGCCTGGACACAATCTCAACTTGAGGAGGCAATGCGAGAACATTCGAAACAGGTGCCCTTCGAACTAGAATGAAGCTGATCTCCTAACAAAGCCTGGATGCAAGCCGGAAATTCTCCCCCTCCTCAATCCTTCCTCAACAAGAAGAGGAAGAAAAAATGAGAACACCACATCACAAGAAGGTATGAATCACTTGATTCTGGATATTGAATTTGGCAGGCGCACTCATTTTGTACAAAAAAGTAAAGGAGAAAGGGGGAGACCGCGCTCACTGAAAATATAAGCTGGCGGAACATGGAGGAATGGGGGGGATGCTCAAAGATAGGGTGGGAAGTGAAGGGAGTGGTGAAGGCAAGAGGGGCAGCCATCTATACCTGCGACGGTGTTTGGAGAGGCGTTTCATGAGTTATGTTGCGGTTGATCCAGTCGTCAATGGGTATGCCTACCGACTCGTAGCGCCGAGCCGAGGTGCGATTGAAGACAGGCAAGAATTCATCTGCATCCGCAGCCCGACGCATGAGATAAACGTAAGCGTCAGTTCCGTAGCCTTCCGCTCCCGACAAACTTAAATCCCCATGTAAGTAACGCGCATAGAGTCGCGATAACGGGAGTCCATATCCATAGCCAGCAATCGGCGCGTAACCAGCCGAAGGAGACAGGATTGATTCACTGCGGCCTGTCCTTAAACCGCCTGTGGTGTAAGTATACCGGAAGAGTTGATCGTTTACTGATCGGGGAAAGCCGCCACCTTGATCCGAAAGCTATAAAGCAGCGAGAGAAATGGTACCGTGATTAGCTGGATGAGATAGGTATAACTAGGTAGCTCTACTGAGCAATTGTTCTCGTGACGATGTGCCACAAAATTTGATGCTTAAGACGCACACATGATCAACTGAAGCAAGCATCAGCAAGATGGGTGGAGTTTACGACACAAAGATTTCGAAAAGGATTGCCACAAGTATACGACAGTGCTGTGCAGACGTGTAAAGTCAGCGTGCAACAGTATATTGTCAGTGCTATCAATCACTCAAACTCTTCGCTCCTCCTCCTCCTCACCCAAACATTTAACCATCAAACTAACAGTTCATTCATCCATCTACCGCTATTGCAACAGCCCACTTGCCTGTACATTCATCCACCGCCCAATCATTTCTCCACACATTCAAGCAAAACCTTGCCTACTTGACAATCTTAAAGGTGCTTTGCCTAATCTCGCCTTCCTCCTCCACCTTACCCACGATTTGTAAGTATATCCTTGTGAAGTTCCTCAGTGTAGGACAAAAGCTTCCTCAAAGAACGCCCAACGAAGAAAAATGCAAAAATCTGAACAACTTGCTGG